AAAGAAAAACTAACGAAAAGTCCTCAAAAACTTTAGTTTTAATCAAAATGACAAAATAAAGGTGAAAGTGAATAGTATCAGGAGTGACTTTTTAGGCTAAAAATGTCCTTAACGTTAAAAGTGAACAGTACCAGGAGTGTTTCATTAAAACTCCCTTCGAATAATCCATTTGATATGCATTCGTGCATGCTAACTGCTAAGTCAGATAAATATTGCTGTTCCGATTCAAGTAGTATATATGACATTTATAAGCATTTTTATGTATTAAATCAATTCAAGCCTTCAATTTTGTTTACTGCTGGTAAAACGGAAGCTCTTTAATCTTTTGGGTGTATTTGGTGTAACTACGATGCCAAATTACCTGTCTTGCACATATTGAAAGTATTCTTGGAACAGAAACTGAACTTGTCATCATTGTATTATGTTCTTCGTTTTTGAACCTCTCACGTTTAGCTAATTTTATCCACAATGTACTTTTGTCTTAGCTGAATGGTGGTCAACATATGGAGGAGGTTGCCCAAATTTGACACGCTTGGCAATCCGAATTCTCAGTCAAACTTGCAGTTCGATTGGGTGCAGGCGAAATGAGATTCCTTTTGAGAGAGCACACAACACAAGGAACTGCCTTGAGCGTCAACGTCTCAGTGACCTTGTCTTTGTTCAGTATAACTTGCGACTGAAACAAATGTAAGCACAAAGCAATACTGTTATGGAATTAAGAACGGCGGTTTAAAAATAGTGGGGAGAAATTCCTTTCCTTTTGCTAATAATAATTTTTGTTTCCTCACAGGGTTGATAAGAACAGCGAACAAGATGTTATGGATCCCATATCATTTGAAAACATTAGCATGACGGAAGACTGGGTTACCGGGAAGGACATGTGCTTAGATGACAATGGTAGTTTCGACTGGATGGAACTCGATTCAACCTCTGCCAGCACAATGCTTTTAGGGCCGTCCAATGATGATGCCGATGACTTGGGCTCTGGTAATTTTATACTTGAAAGTGGACAATTGCTAAAAATCAAATGACCTTTGTTCTTAATCACATTGTACACTGATTAACCTTGGTCTATATATGCAGGTTTTTATGATTATGAGATCTTTAGCAGAGCAAAACACGGTGAAGAGGAAAATGTTGAAGACAATGTAGAAAATCATTAGAGCCTTATCCATGAGTCAGTTATCGACATCAAGGACCCATGGTTACGAATCATCGCCTTGTAGTTTGCAACCGAGCAGAGGAAGATGTAGTTAAGTAGATGTGCATGTTGTGTCTGGAACATTTTGTAGCCTCCACACAGGTAGTTTTCATTATTAGAGTGTAGTGCATTGTAGCTGATAATTTTAAGCAGATAGTTTGAAGCAACTAAAATGTTGTTAGGAAGATAAATTTCCAATCTAGTTCTCGTCCAGATGAAATGTAAAAGTATTAGAAAATCTGTTCACTCTATCTTGGGTAAATTTAAAATTAAGCTGGTTTTATATGTGCTATGTTTCATACTACCAGTTGCTTTGAGATTGAAGAAGAAACGGGGTTTTCTACAGTACACTCGTGTATAAGGTGATACCAATTAACGCAGCAGAACAATAAGAAAATCATTTAAAACTTAAAACACACCAAGAACACAACCTCTAAAATATTATTAGTCGTATATCATGTTATTGTCGAAATTATTAAGCCATGTAAATTCCGCGTCTAACACACTGGTGCATTGTAGAACTTTTGAAGAAAACGAAGTCCTTTTCGACTTGAAAATATTGGATATTGCAGCTGCCTTGTGGTATTTAGAGAATGTGACAACGTATCTTCCTTGTTTAAATAAAAATTTCATTGCAAAGGTCGTTTAATTAATTTAACATCGGAGCCTACTCCCCTTCATTATGTACATTCAAACGTACATTTTAGTTTTTACGCTACAATAACGTACTGTCAATTTTTGCGGCCTACTTCCTCCTTTGAAATAACATCGTAAGAGAAGATGTAGGCTTCTTCTAATCCTTTTGGGCAGTCATCTAGCAGCCCGTTTAGGTCCCAATCGGTATTTGGGCAGACTTGCAACGCAAGTAACAATCCTTTCGCTCCCAAGACTTTTGGTTTTGGCTCGCAAATAGGGAGTTCCACGTTTGGAGGAACTTCAACTGGTGTATCTGGCTCGCAAACGGGGTGTCGTTCCATGTTTGGAGGAACTTCAACTGGTGTATTTGGCGCAACTCAAGCTTCTTCACCTTTTCCTTCCTCCATAACTTTCGGTCATAAATATCGTCACCAACTTTTGGAAATATTAATACAACGCCTACTTTTGGAGGAACAACTTCTAGTCCTTCATCTTCACCTTTCGGTGGTTCATCTGGTTTTGTCAGAAGCCCGTGTTTGGAGCATTTCGGTCCAAACCTGCTCAAACAAGTCCTTTTGGTGCTACCACCACCCCATCCTTTGGTGCTATAAGTGGTCCGGCCTCTGGTGCAACCCTCCACCCTCCGCTTTTGGTGTTATAAGCACCCCAGCTTATGGAGCAACAATTTCCCTTCCGACCTAAAAAAGAAAATTGAATTCCCTAATTCTGATCCTTCTGAAAATCAAACCTAGCTTGAATCAATCATATGGCCTTACATGTTAAGATTAAAATTTAGATATCTGAAAGTATAAACTAGTGAAATTTATAATTTCACATTCGGGTTCATATTAACCAAAGGAAGAAAGTCCATGGGAGAAACGATAGAGATATAAGGCAGCACAACAAGACTAAATACAAGATTACACTACACCAATCCAACATAGGAAGACAATGCAACAACATTAATTGTTTACCCTTAACATCCTTATAAAAGTGCTTCCCTCCTTCCTCCCTCCCTCCAATTATAACCTAAAAGAAAAGGACTTAACATGTGTACAAGCAACTTCCATCATCACTCCTAGCCGTTGGATCAGTACAAGAACTGGAACATTCACTTGCTGCGCTGCTTTGCCTGCACAAAGACCAATTATAAAACCTTTAATACACACACACCCCTAATACATTTTGTAAATTTACCAAATCAAGCTAATCTTGGGAGCAGCCTCTCCATAAATGGGGGTAAGGCTAGCCGACATTCACCTCTCCCAGACCCTGCGTAAAGCGGGAGCCTTGTGCACTGGGTACGACCTACGACCAAATCAAGCTAATGGATGCAAACCTCCCACAGAGGATCTCTGAATATCAAGGGATCTAACTGTAGAATGTTCTATCTGTCCATAGCATCTGAATTGGCATCACCAAGAGCAGCCTCGCTCAAGTACTTATCAGCCAATTGAACTCTCTTCACATTCTCTTGCTCTTGGACAAGCATGTTTCCGTACTCGAGGAGCTTTTCGATTGTCATATTCGGCTGCTCGAAAGTTGGGGGTCCTTCCTTTGAGTTCACAAGCTTCTTCCCAATGCCCTCCACGCCAACACCCGAAATCCACTTCCTCACTTCATCGTCGTAAACCCTAGCCCTCAAGGCACCAAAGAAATCTGCAAAATCATGACATAGGGATACATAACATGTCAAATTGTATGATGACATGACATAAAATGTCTGACTAACTGATTAATTATATAACGTGTCGGGCTGTTTAAGGTACAGGAAAAACATTTAGCATACCAATAGATTGTCCCGGGAAGGTGTCAACAAGCTTGACAATGTCTTCCTTAGCAACATTGTCACTCCTGAAGATCCCAATGCAGACTCCAATGCAATCTTCGCGGGTGGGAGCCCAGTAGAACTTCTCCATACGGCCGTCACGGATGAGAGGAGCGTACAGTGTTGAGAAATCGTTACCGGTGACAATGATTGGGACACGGGGGTTCTCCTCCTTGTTGTACATACCTGGGAGCTGGACGTTTGTCGGGTTATCAGCAATGTTCATGAGGGTGGCATTCACCAGTTGGTTGTTGACCGTGTATTGGGTGGTTCCACCAAGCCGACCAGCTCCTGCATCAAGATCGTTGATGAAGAGTGCACACATTTTACCCTTCTTGATAATGTCGGCCGCTTCACGGTACCTTTGCCTGATCACCTTCGCGGGTTCTCCTGCGTTTCCACTTTCCAATTCTCCGGCACTCATCATGATAGGGCTGAAAAAATGTCATCAAAAAGCTAGGCAGTAAGAAGCAAACTTATCTGACCAAGTGACCATAAACTAGTTAGTTCAGTTTTAAGGTTTTTTTGTAAAAAAAAAAAATTTGGAAACCAAAATATCAAGCCAAAATTTGAAAACTCACTAAAGTAAATTACCAAAAAAAATTCAGTTCTAAAAAAAAAGTTACTAAAGAAATTATCTGTTTAAATAAACAAAAAATTGATAACAAAAGCAAAAATTGAAAAAAAAAAAGAAAAAAAAAAGAAGGTTATCAAACGACTCGTTAGTTACTTAAATTTCTAATGTTGACATTTCGAGTCTAGCATATGGATAATTTAAACTGAGTGACGTAGAGGATGTGTGACAGATGTACTGACCTGATTCCCATCTTGGCAAAGACAATCTTACACTGGAAAGATTTACCTTGACCTTTGCCTCCCCAAATACCCAAGATGAGAGGAACCTGCGAACAAAATTAAGTGATGATTCAAGTTAAATTCCTACAATTAATATATTTTCGGAAAAAACTCATAGTTTGTGACGACCCGTCCCTAATTTTTCATGTAATTTTCTCCCTCAGTGTGTAAATTGACGTTTATGTCCTTTTTGGCAAAAGGAACCTGACGTGGACGTAGTTATTCGGATTTAAATTATTTTTCTCACTATCATAATTAAATAATACTCGTTGTTACGAGTGCATGAGCGCAACTTAGACCTGAATCGGACTTGTAACAAAAAAGTTACGCTTAGTTAAAATACGTTAACAACGGATAGATTTATATATGCATGTGCTAATTATTCAGTGTTGGAAACTACTATTTTCGATAATGTACATTAGATTTCGTGTGATTTCAGTTGTACAAAACCTTATCTCTTTTTCTTTTTTTAAAACCTGTCCGTGACTTACCCATGCACACCAATTAAACACTTTCTCCCCCAATAAGACACCTTCACTTTTTCAACCAATCAGAAAATCCCCCTCTCTTCTTCTTAGCCAATTAGAAAAGCCTCTCTCTCTTCTTCTCCCTCGTACCCGAGCCTCTCTTCCCTCTGCAACACACACACCCAGTGTTCTAAAAATCGGCCTAGGCGGCAGCCTAGACGGCGCATAGGCGCTACACGGTGGCCAGCCGCTCCGATTAGCCCATAATCAGGAGAAAAATCGGCAAGAGGATTTGGCGGGCGTGAAGGCAGCCTAGGCGGTGCTTGGGCGGCCTAGGCGGGCGACTCGATGGCCTAGGCGGTCTGGGAGTTTTAGAGTTTTTGTCGTTGTAGAGGGCTGTGTTCTTGTTATGGTTCTGCAATTCTGCGTTTCACATTTAGGAAGACTAAAGGAAGAAGAAGATCAAAATGAGTTTCTCTCTATTCGCATTCCCCCACGTGACAGACAGACATGACCACTCGGTCCACTCCACTTTTTGTTGTATTTTTTTAAATTTTCTAATCAATTGCAGGGACATATAACATACAATCATACATTGAATATTGGTGTGGTGTGCCCCACTTCACCTGTTTTTGGTGCAGAGTGCCCAACCTTTGTTACAGGTTACACCATTACTTTTTATTTTTATTTTTTTAAGTTCACTATATAATAAATAATCTTTAAAAAATATTTATTAAGTAATATGAATTTTCATCTTATACCATCTAATTCATTAAAAAAATATAAAGAAAATTCTATCTTGGAGAGATATTGTTGGATAATCTTTTTGCATTTTATCATTCGTTTATTATCTTATTCATGGATTTCATACAAGTATAATTTTTTTGTAAGTGTCAATATGAACTTATTTACAAGAAATTTACCTAAATCTGCCTAGATCCTGCCTAGCCGCCCTACTAGCGTCTAACGTTTTTTAGAACCTTGCACACACCAACATCAAACCTCACATATCGACCCTTAAAGCACCACCATTGTGCTCCACTCATCCTCACGAACCCATCCGTACCAACTGATATTAAAATAAACGAGTTTTGAGCTTCAAACTCGGAGCTTCGACTTAGGTGGAGTTTTCCCTGACGTTTTTCTGCTCGAGTCACAAGATTTTGGGAGGTTTGGAAGCATCTAGGCAACTCCCCAAGGCCATTAGCCTAGTTTTGAAGTGGAGCCAACGAGGAAACCCACGAGTTTGAGACAACAAAAATTAGGGCTGAGAGTCTTGAGTTTTGATCCATTTCTGTCTACCTTTTGGACTTTCAAGAGGTATAAACTTGTTCTCCTCTTTATGGGCTTCATTTCCATATAATGTACGTTGAAAATGGTTGAGAAATGAAAAAGTTTTGAAATTTTTCCAGAAATCGGTGAATTTTTCCAGATTCCAGTGAACCAGACGACGACGGACGATGGAGGTCAATCGAATAAGAAGGAGAATATTCCGTTAAAGTTAACGGAATATTCTGATGCCGTTAGACTTAATGGAATATTCCATCAGAATCCCTGGAATTTATCTGTTTGTCAAGCGAGTGGCTTGCACGTGTGGCCGTATCCTGGCGGTGAGTGAGGGTGCGTCTGGCTATCGGCCAGTGTGTGCTTGATGTGTACAAGTCCATGACGTCGAGTAGAATGTTTTCGTATATTTAAACCCTCCGTTGAGCAAACTATGGGGGATTTTCCTAGCCGTTCTGTGTAGGTCTTAATTAATTAATTATTTTTCACATATAGGTGAGACTTACCCTAAGGAGGTACGAGGACAAATAAGGCTAGAAGGCTACGATCCATTGATGTATCAGTGAGTGAGCATTTGTTTTTATATATAAAGTTTTATAGTTTCCACAAGTGCTTTTGGATTGATTTACGCCTATCATGCCATGTTTTATTTAATTTAAAAAATGCCATTATATTGTTGAGATTTATATATTGTCATGGCATGTTCATACGCTTTATACTTGCTGATCATGCATGCTTGCACCTGTGTAGTACTCGCCCGGGCCAATGCCAGGCTTCATGTGTATGTACACATCGCACCACATGTTCACCTTGGATCCATTGTAGGTGCCAATCATGTCATATAGGCTGCCCTAGGCAACTCCGATTCGTATGTGATGCGCCTAGCACTAGTCTTCACGTGATTGTAGTACTAAAGCGTATATTATGATTACACCCAGTTCTGTTCATGTCAGATCCCCTCTACATGACTCGTGTGTTAGCATAGATTGATGAGCACCTGATTTTATTATGCTACTGTTGAGATATTGTGATTTAGCGTATTTCTGGATTTATTGTTGATTTACAGTTGATTTCATACTTATACGTAGTATGATTTTCTGGAAACTATACATGTTTTACGGCGAGGGGCTAGTATGTTCAGAAACTAAATGTGTTTTATAAACCTTTGTTTTTTCCCACTCACCCTTTTGTTTTTCGCCCCTCCAGGACTTTGATAGCTGATTACTATGTGGCGTACGAGGAATATCCGGCGGTTATGACATACCCCTAAATAAATGTAGGAGCTTTTCCTGTTGTGTAATAAGCACTTTAACTAGTTTCGACTGCACACTTTTATGTCATCTATGCTCTGAACACTTGTGTTTTATGAGTTCTTCCCTCTACTGCGCACTCTCAATTTTAGATTATATAAATGTTAGCTTTGGTTTTAATTTATCCATATTTTTATGCTTCACTTTCCCTTTTGGTTACGTCATCTTCGGGTGTTGATCAACATGCCTCGACTCCGGTCAGGGTGTGTCATAGTTACATCTTTGATAGTGATATTTACCTTGATGTTAGGAAGGGTCATGAAGTTCTTGGTGATGTGAACAACAAGCTTGTCCATAAAGCGGGAGCAATATAAAAACCATCCATGTTGTTGTTAAAGTTGTACCTATTCAAGAACCATCTCGTTACCATGTTAACTGTAATAACCCGAAACTTGGGGACAATTATATCGGTCGTGGATTTGGCAACGTGAAATATTCATAAGAACATATATGATCTATGAACTTACTGGCGAAGCCCCGTGCTGATGTATTCATAAGAGCTCATGATGGCAAAGTGAGTTCCGGCTCCTTGAGGTGCCTGGAAGAGGGAGTCCACCATACCCTTTCCTCTTGTAATGTCTTGTTGGTCATCGGAGGTGTCGAATGCAAGGCCTCTCCATTTGTCCTTGTTGGTCTGCCTTTCTTCTTCCACCTCTGCGACAATCCTGAGGCTTCCGGAGGAAACCTTGGAGCTGGTGAACCTTGAGTTCACTTTCTTCAAGTTGCTTCCCAAAAAGGTTGAGCTTGGAACTGAAGCACTGCTCCTAGAGCCATTCAGGCTCAAGTGCAACCCGTATTATTGTGATCACCTCCCAAACTAACAAACCCATGCCTAATTGTTTCCCAAACTCGCATGGGTATGGATAACTTCTATTCTTGGTTGTATATGTAGTTTGGATTCATAGGACAACATAAGTATTTATCTAGAAGACTTGAAAACATACGTCTGACAAAACATTACCCTAAGTAGGTAACTAAATATAATCAAGGACAACCAACTACTGTTTAGCTTCTAAGCAGGTGATTGACAACACACAAAAAAAGAGTTAAGCCATACCGGTGCTCGGTTGACAGTTCCAATGGTAGATACAGCAGTGGCCATGATCTCCGTCGGAACGGTTGTTTTCTAGTGTGAGTAACAGAGAGGAGGGGGCACTCCTGGTTGCCTGCAAGCACAGTATGCTATTCTTGTGTTTTGGAGGGAAAAGAAATGAGAAATGGTTTGTACTTATGGTACTTGTTTATGAGTGTACAGAATTTGATACCCTTTGGATTTGCTTGTTGAATGGTTTGAGATCATTGAATCAAGATTGCTTTGATGACACGTGTCAAACAAAGAGTGCATGGAAACTCAGTCATTTGACTCGTTTCTTGGTACTTGAGGGTAGTGTTTAAGCTCTCTTCTTCTACACACAAAAAATTAGGCAATTTTTGTAACAAAAAAAAAAAGTAAAAATTGGACAATTTATTGGCCACAGAATTGAGAGAATCGAAGAAACTGGGAAAGCCCATGTCTATTATTGTGGGGTTTTATTTTGTTGTTTTCTTATAATGGAAATGCATGGAGAGGTCTTGCTAATTCCGGTTGGAGGTTATGGAACACAATCATGTTCAAGTTCTCCTGGCTTGGTTTCTCTTCCGTTTAGGACTTCACATTAAATGTGAATGGGTGATAGGCTTGGTTCTAATTAACGGGGTGATTGAAATTGGAGGATTAATTAGATATTAACAAGGTAATTGAATCATCGATATTATTGCTAAAAAAAGAGTTGGGGAAGTTCTCCATGCTAAGCTTTGGGCTTTGTTTTATGAGTTTTAAGATAGTTGTAGTAGAAATTTCTCTCATCTTATTTGGAGGTTGATTCTGCTTTGGTGGTCTCTCTCATTCATGGTTCTCCTAGCCTTAATCATCCTCTCTACGGTCTTGTCTCAGGGTGCAGAATTCTGATAAAAGAGAACTGGAGCTGCAATTTGTAGCATGTTCATAGAGTGAGTAATTTTGCAGTTGACGGGTTGGCCAAGTTGGGTATAGTGCAATGAATTTTCAAGAGCTTGTGGAGCCTCCTCCCTGTTTAGTTCAAACTCTTTCCGATGACTACTCTAGTGTCGCTAAAGCTAAGCTAGTTGTTCCTTAGTGTTTTTTTTCTCTTTTTCTTCCATGTTACAGAAAGAAAAAAATGCATGGAGAAATGAGGTGCACCATGAATAAAATGTTTGTGACTAGCAACAATTCATTTCCTTAAAAAAATGGATTTGTGGAAGAATTTTAACAAACATGTTTGCGTTATGATAGGAGCCTAGGGCACAAAGTTTAGTCAATCAAAATGTTTAGAGAGTCTTTCGACGAAAAAAAAATGTTTATTGAGTCCAAGGCCTAGATCAGATCATATTGGGCTGGTTATTTTGTTCCTATGAGCTAGAGTCATGGCCTCATACATCTGATAATAACCTCTAAGAGTCCTGGCCTGGCCCATACCTCAAGCCTATTGACCATTTCACCCATTAACACGTCATAACACAATTCGATTGTGCAAGTAAAACTCATCAAACTAGTACAAGTGGTGGATTGCTTGCAATCAAACTAGTACAACGGGTTTAAATGAGTGATTAGCACCGTATTAAGTTATTAATTAATTAGCGCTTAAGCAATGCTTTTTTATGCAACCTTTTAACTCGTTAATGTAAAAATGAGTGATTAGCACCGTATTAAGTTATTAATTAATTAGCGCTTAAGCAATGCTTTTTTATGCAACCTTTTAACTCGTTAATGTAAAATCTAATCAAATGACTGAGGAATAGAATTGGCCAGAATGATGGTATTGATATTAGTCTACTAACTTTATACAGAGAGTTCTCTATAAACAAGCAGCTGATCCTGCAATTCTACTATACAAGAAAGGAAGGAAATATATACATATTAATTATTGATTACACGCCTATTCTAGGCCCTTTATGATAGGGATCCTGATTGCTTTCTAACACTCCCCCTCAAGTTGGAGAGTGGATGTCAAGAACTCCCAACTTGCGAATCATGACTGAAAAAGAATCCTTACCCAAAGGCTTCGTGAAAACATCTGATAGTTGATGCGAGGAGGTGACATACTTGGTAGTGATCGGTCTATCTTTTATTTTGTCTCTAATGAAATGACAATCTGTTTCGATGTGTTGCGTTCGCTCATGAAAGACCGGATTCTCAGCTATGTGTAGTGCGGCTTCATTGTCACAATGAAGTCATGAGGCTTCCGGATGTGGTAACTGCAGGTCACGCAACAAACTCCGTAGCTAGGTGAGCTCGCAGCATGCTCCCGTCATCGCCCAATATTTAGCTTCTGCCGAAGAGAGTGAGACAGTTTTTTGTCTCTTTGTTCTCCATGAAATCAAGGAATTTCAAGAAATACACAATATCCAGTGGTAGACCTTCGAGTGATGGGATAACTCTCCCAGTCGGAGTCACAAAAAGCACTCAACTTCAATGTATTATTGGCTGGAAATAAAAAGTCTTAGCTAGGAGCACTTTTGAGGTATCTAAGTATGCGAAGGGCAGCCTCCATATGTGGTCGACGAGGCTCATGCATAAATCGACTGAAGACATGTACGTCATATGTAATATCAGGCTGTGTGATGGTAAGATAGATCAAACGACCTACCAACCGTCTAAACTGAGATGGGTCCTTTAGTAATTCACGTGTATTAGACAACTTGGTTCCATGCTCCATTGGGAATGAAATAGGTCGGGCACCCAATATACCTCCATCTTTAATAATATCAAGAGCATATTTTCGCTAAGAAATACCTTTCTTCGAACGAAAAACTTCAATGCCCAAGAAATATTTGAGATCACCAAGATCCTTACTACGAAACTGGGAATGAAGAAATTTTTTGAGGGAATTGATTGCATTTTCATCATTGCCAGTAATCAATATATCATCGACATAAATCAATAAAGCAATAAATGATTTACCTCTCATACAAGTGAAAAGAGAATAATCAGCTTTCGACTAAACGAAACCAACCGCTTGAACAGCTTCAGTGAACTTAGCAAACCATTGACGTGAGGCTTGTTTTAGGCCATACAAGGACTTGTTGAGGCGACACACTAGGTTCTCCCCTCTGTCGTCGAAGTCCCGGAGGAGGTGTCATGCAAATTTCTTCAAGAAGGTCGCCATAAAGGAATGCATTGTTGACGTTGAGTTGATTAAGTGGCCAGTTACGCAGAGGCAATGGCAAGAATGCAACGCACAATGATCATTTTCGCTGTGGGTGAGGTGTCATGGTAATTAATGCATTCAGTTTGAGTGAAGCCTTTGGCGACAAGTCGAGCTTTGTAACGCTCAATGGAACCGTCTGAATGACGCTTAATTTTATAGACTCACTTACAATCAATTGGATGTTTGCCTGGTGGAAGGGAAGTGAGGGTCCATGTATGATTGGATTGGAGAGCCTTAAGTTCGACGTTCATTGCATGCTGCCAATGAACATGTGATTTTGCTTCTGCAAAAGAGGTTTGTTCGATATCCTTACTAATATTGGCAATAAATGATAAATGCATGGGTGAGTACCGATGGTAAGAAACAAAATTACAAAGAGGATAACGAGTACCTAGTGAATGGCTAGGCGACTGTGAAGACGAAGGGTTTGGGGGTAGAGTCACCTGCGAACAGACAAAGTCTTTGAGAAGAACATAAGGTTGTTTTTAGTGTTGTGATTGGCAAAGAGAATGAGCATATGGTGGTGCTGGGGACTCAGATGGAGTAGGAAAAGTGATAACAATGGGTGGCATATGAGAATAAGGAAAATCGTCTAAAGGTAGAGGGATGAGGTTGGTTGGTGAAGCAAAAGATTCTGAAATATGAGATGATTATGAAGTAAAAGAGGGTGAGGCTGAAGAAGACGACGTAATTGAAGGAGAAGATGAGGCTAAATGAGCATGTGTTGGAATAGTTAAGGAAGAGGGAGAAGTGTCAGACATGGATGGATAAGAAGAAACAATAGGTGGAATAATAGGGTCTGATGTGGTTGGGACCACGGGAGGAAAAAGAGGGACTATTGTAGTTGGATCTGGAGCATGGGTATTGGTGGCCCCGGGTTGGTAAGGATTGGTAGTCTGAAAGGAAAAATTTCTTCAAAGAA